ACATTGCCTGTAAAGAACAATTAAAATTTTCTTTAACTCATATGGTAAATTATAAAATCCCCAAAGAGCTATATCAATTATGTTGTTGTTTGTTACATACACATATTAATAATTGTGGCATACATCTAAAATATTCTCTGAATACTTTATGAACATCTAAAGAAGATTTTTTAAAATGTGTCAATTCATTTTTTTCTTGTTTATGAAATGTTCTCTAATCTATTACTATCTATAGCAGTGAAAGAGTTATCATTTGATAATTCCTAAGATTTCACAGTCTATCTATTTAATGTAAAATCATAGTTTATAATAGATTTCGTACTGATAAGCTATACGTTCGATTTATGTTACGAAATAATTTTTTAAAAATTAAACATGAACATACGTAAAATAGGAAATTGTTTTTTTTAGTTAGATTAAATTCTGAATTAAAATAATCTTTTGCATACAATGTACGACGACAACTATGAGACAAACTTTAAAAATAAATGTTGCGTGAATTTCTATTTTTTTTAATGTTCAAAGGTTATCAAAAGAAAGAGTAATTGATTTCGAATATTCAGTGTACTAAACTGTACTAAATTATGTTAAATAAAAAAACTAAAATACTTATGTATATTTTGACTAAATTAACTATTTGCTAAATGGTTTCATAAAGACATATGTATGTATATTAGGGTGTTTTTTTTATAAAAACCAAATAAATTTTGGAGAGAATGTTTAATTAACACTTCATTTAAGAGCTAAATTCAGAAAATACTTTGTCAAATTAAGAGTTCCCCGAATGTTCTTTCGAACGCTTCATTTACCGCTCCATAGATCGTAAAGGTAACAAGGTAACTCTACTTCACCTGTGGATTTTGGTTTAATAGATTGACTTTCATATTTTAGTTTCTGAAAAACTTTCTCTAAAATATAATTTTTGTGGCTCAGTTTTCCAGTTCATTAGAATAGTTGAGTTATCGCCGATACATACTTGTGTTGGTAAAACCCCCATGCATGTTCTCAGCTATAGATTTATTAATATCGAACGGACTTGATAAATGTTGATTCCTACGGGTATCACATCCACCACGATAGTGGCCTAGGTGTATTTCTTCGGATTTGATGTAGTATACATCCTCCTATTAACCTACCTACCCTACGGGTATCACATGTCTTATAAAGTCACATAAATTAGCGAGGAACATTTCAAAAAGCTCTCACACTGCTCTGCATGCTTACTAATCTGTTAGAAACAAATCCTTAAAAAAATTGCATAGAATGCTGGATTCACAACTAATGGGCGTTTCATTTAATAATGGTTTGGGTCTTTAATAATATATGGTCCTTTCATTTAATCCTAGTTCACCTATAACACCACCTTTTTATTTTTATCAATAAATTGCTGAAGTATGTATGTTAATCGGCTGATCATGTACGACTGTATTTTCTTACATCTTTTGTATTTATTTAAGCGATATATTGCATTGTTGATAAATGACTTGAAACTAATTCAGCCTCCATTTGCAGGAATGCCGGGAAAATATCATATCGTCCTGCAGTTCTACATATACTCTTGATTACCTCCTTGGTCAAATCTGATGCTACCCGTAAGTTTCATGTTCTCCGCTATATCATCTCCTGGCCATCGATCATTCTTTTTATAACCACCATCAAAAAAGATGGGGGGTATATTCTCATTCCGTTTGTAACACATCGAAATATTGGTCACAGACCCACAAAAGTATATATATTCTCGGTCCTTATTAAATTCTAAGACGATCTAGCCATGTCTGTCCACCCTCCCTCCGTCCGTCTGTCTGTTGAAAGCACGATAATTTCCGAACGGAACTAGATAGAGGATTGAAATTTTCCACAAATATTCTCTATAGGTAAGGTTAGTTTGGTATTGAAAATGGACAATATCGGTCCACGTTTTCGGATAGCCCCCATACAAGTGGACCCACGAAAACAAGCTTTAATGGGCATATCTGTTTCAAAAGTACGAGTATAGCGATGAAATTCGATATAAATAAGTTTCATATGATCCAAAATCTCCCTACCAAATTTTATGATGATCTGTCCATAATCGGTCCTACCCCCCCATATAAGGTCCCCTTCAGAAAATAACTTTAACGCTCATTACTGGCTTAAAAATACGGATCGGTTCTACCCCCCATATAAGGCCCCCTTCAGAAAATTACTTTAACGCTCATTACTGGATTAAAAATACGAGTATAGTAATGAAATTCGACACACATAAGTTTCAATGAAGCCAAAATCTCTCTATCAAACTTTATGTGGATCGGTCCATAATCAAGCCAACTCCCCATATAAGGTGCCCTTCAAAAAATACTTAAACGATCATTACTGGCTATACTATACGAGTTAAAACCTCTCTACCAAATGTATTGAGGATCGGTCCATAAGAAAATTACTTTAACTATCTTTGCTGACTTAAAAATACGTGAACAGTTATAAAATTTTATATAAGAAACATTTATAGGAATTTAAATCTTCCTACCGAATTTCATCCGGAAAGTGTCGGGAAGTGATATTCGATGTAAAGATGTTTTATATGAACCAAAATTGGTCTAAAAAAATTTTATGAAAAAGAGTCAATTTTTAACCCTATCTCTCATATAAGGTCCTATTCAGTTAATTTGATGAGTAATATCACCCTGATATTTATAAGGGCGCATTCCTTTTAAGGCATACGGTTTGATGGTGGGTATATGAGATTTGGCACAGGCGAATATGTATAACACTCTCACTTGTTGAACCTAAGTTTTAGATATGAACTTTTTATCTTCTATCAGTTCACAATCTACCAGTTCTCGTTTGACTTTTAGGATTTTTTTATATTCACCAAGTTTACTGTGATATTCCGATTGAATAGTTGGGGAAGAGTCTTCTCAAGATTCCGGATCTCGCCTGTTCTCTGGGTTGCTCCTGGACAGAACTCCGCTCTCATAGAGTACAGATTGAACGATTCAACAAAAGCAATTGTGAATATTTCCACATCGGTGTCTATAACTTCTCTATTGCCCAGTTTTTTAATTCTTGTAATTTCAGAAAAAAAAATATTTTTTATTGAACCTTGAATTCCATTTTGAAATAAAACACACTTTTATATTTTTACGGTTTTTGGAGTTTTTTTCTTTTATTTAAAGTTTTTTTTTTGTTTGTGATAAAGTCTAAAAGGTTACTAAAACTAAAAAGTTGATATAAATTCTATTATTAATGTATTCTTTGGTATATTTAGCTGTATGTATGTATAACATTTGGCATAAATACTAATATTGTACATAAAAATATAAGTAAGAAAATTAAAATAAAATATAAAATTAAATGTATTTAAGAAAAAAATAAAATGCTTTTTTTACTATAAAAATAAATTTAGAAACTGTTTTCGTTGAATTTTCGAACAAGTCAGTTTAAACTTAAACAGACAAACTGTAGTTATAAATTACTTTTAAATAGTTTTTGACAAATTTTTGTATAATTTCAAAATAATAACGAAATTTTTATGTAACTACTATATGAATATTGCACCAATAACGGCCATATTTATTAACTAAAATTATTTTAAAATGGTGTACAGCACAGACCGATTTAAAATTATTTAGATTTATTTATTTATTTTTTTTATTTAAAAGTAACGAAACTAATCAAATCATTTCGAAATGTTCACTTTAATGATTTGATTAGTTTCAACTAATTTTAAAGACTAGATCATCTCGTCTACGAGCATCTTTCAAATACTTTGATTGTCAAGAATCAAAGTTTTCTTTTATACTCATATGAAAGCTTAAAATTAATTTTATTAAATTTAATAATTATATACTTTTTTTTTAATTCTTTGGAATCTCTAACTACATACAAAATACATATTTTAAGTGTAAAATGACATTAAAAATTTAATTGAAAATACTGTAATGTGTTTTGTTTTTTTCTTTTAAGTACATTGAAATACATACTACATGCTAATAAATGATATATAATCTCTTTCTCTCTCTCTTTCTGTAGCATAATTTCGTTTTAACTTTTTTTTGGAATTAAATGATTAAAAATATTAACAAAATTAAAACAAGTTTTTAATTAGGTTCTGAAATAATTTTTCGATTTAATTTAGTTTGGATTCCAAGTCATAAGAGTGCAAAGCTCTAGAAGAAAGAGAGAGTTTATGTGCTTATTTAAGAGAACATGGAGAACAATCTATTTTCTAAATTTATTATTTTTTTGTTTTTTTTTTTCTTTATAAATCATCAATATTTAATATTTGAATGTGTTTTTTTTTTATTATTATTAAAGTAAAACAATTGAGTGCAGTGTAAAATCAATAATAATTATTACAATAATTTGTAATTGGAAATATAATTAATAAAGTAAATAAAATAATAATTAACATAATATATAATTAAGCATATACTTGTAAAATAAATTTACTATCACATGTGTTTTTTTTTTCTTTCTTACTTTGTTTTTGCTGATATTTTCTGGTTAATTTTCATGGTAAACAATAAGTTATCGGTTATCGAATAACCACATTGTTTAAGTAATTCATAAAATAATAGAAATCTCTTGGGTTCATTTCATAATATTGTAATTGGATTCCTGTGCATATGTATCAATATATCAAAAAGATTTAGGAAGTTCAAAGATGGTGTTGTTGGTTATAAAACTGGTTATCTGATTATGGTTATATGTGTTAGCCAAAAGATAAAAATTTTTTAAATTCTAACTTTAAGCCTGTCACAGCATTCCATTCCCATCGATAGTGGTATTATGTTTTAGCAAATTTTGATTAAATTTATAGGTATAACCTTTTGTATAATGAAGTGATGCAATATAAACATTGTCGGTATTGGATTTAAACATGAGATTTGAATTCTTACTTTGGTTTCATGAAATCTAATGTCACAGATCTTATGTTCTAACTAGAGAATATTCAATCCTTTATCGAAGAAAAAACCGATAGCGTTGGATTTCATAAGACGTACTCTTTTGTCGTTTTCAAAGCCATATTTTTACACGATTTCGCTTTAACACGATTATATTTCTCTTTTTTATAACTTAATATTAGCAAACAAATCGGCCATACTTTTGCTGATCTAATTAGACAAAATCAATAGGTTTTATGTGAACTTTCAAAATTACTAATACTCCATCTTCCGATATATCTTTTCTAAAATAATGTTAAAAAATTGAAAATTTTCACTTGTTTCAGAAATTATCGAATAGAAAACCGTCGACCGTATAGGATTGACTAAAAATAAGGGCGAAAGAATCCTATTCGGCTATTTTGAATAATGAACCACAAAAATCATATCGGATGACCCTAACGAGGGGAAAAAGAGAAACCTTTTATAGTCTGGACTATAGACCAGTCTATAGTTTGGATTATAGACCAGTCTATAGTCTGGATTTTAGTCCAGTCTATAGTCTGGACTATAAATCAGTCTATAGTCTGGATTATAGATCAGTCTATAGTCTGGGATATAGATCAGTCTATAGTCTGCACTTTAGATCAGTCTATAGTCTGGACTATAGATCAGTCTATAGTCTGTAATATAGATCAGTCTTCCGAGGTTAGTATGATTCTATGTGGATGCGCAGGATTTCGGGCACAACCTTGCCAAACTTTCGTCGAAATTAGATCCAAATATATTGGCAGCAATAACTCAGGAACACTGATTTCTGAATATCTACATAAAATTCTATATATGTTTTTTTTTTTTTTTTTCACCAACATTCTCTATGTAAAGGAACGCACCTAACCCGGTAATTTAGATATGCTTAACAAGAATCAGTCAAAATATTTGAAATCAGAAAAATATTGTAAAACAAAGGTAGCAATCTCCATTTCTTTGATGACCTTTTCTAAAAACTTTGGATCCAATTTGCTAGGAAACTTCTATAGGGATTTGGTTTAAACTTTCTTTAGACCTTCATCTAGTTACATTATACTAACTAAGAAAACTGAAATATTAATTGTTAAATATCTTTAGAAATAAAGTTTTTTTTCTAAAATGGATATTGCTGCCTTTGTTTCTATACCCCTCGATTATAAAATTATGGCGAATTGGCGATATATACAGTGATTTTTCTCTCCTGGAAACTTGTGGGCTTTTCAATCAATTAATACTTTTGTAATTAAATGAACCGATTTATACAACGTATGTAATTATCGTGTAAATCGAGGTTTCTACAACAACCGAATAGTACAATTTTACACTTATGTTTCTGACAACAGACTTTGGCTTTTGAAAATCTGTATTGTCCGCTAATCTATCAGAGAGTTTTTAACTTGAAGATCAAATCGATAAGATTAGATTAAAAGTATTTAAAGATCAATTAATTAACTGGCTGATCTGACTGTTTGATCTTTAAGTTGATCATTAAATTATAGATTTTTAATTATTGACATTAAATTAGCAAATTTGAACGCAGGAAGGGTAATTTCTCCAAAAAAAGTGATAATTATAATTGGGAAATTAAGGGATGACAGTTGATCGGACAAATTTGAACTTCGGTGTGTAAGTAATTTTAGAAAGTATTTTTTAATTTAATTTATTTCTTTGGGAATATTTCTTTTTAAGTTAAAGTTTAATTAATTTTTATTATCTGAGAAAGTCCTAATTGATTCTTCTAAAGTTGTTCGATTCGATCGATTTAATTTACATTCAAAAAAATATTTCCCAAATATGTGCAATAAAAATACTGATAAAATTTACTTAGGAATTGTGATAATGCCATTCTTTTAAATTGTTTTAAAAACATTTTATATTTTGCAAAAATTTGAGGGTTAATGTAAAATTACCAACAATTCTTTTTGTTTAAAAACATTAATAAAAAATTTCTTTTAATTTAAAATAAACAATTCCAAAAAAAGTTCATAAATAAATTAAAATAAGTACTTATTTTGTTAAGAAAAACAACAACAAATTAAATAAAATCAAGTCCAAATTTTGGGTTTCTTTAAAAAAAGTATTTTTTTTTTTTTGAGATACGCGATACATTAAAAACTCACAGATTCATTGTCTTTTTTTTTATTGAGAATTGAAGTGCTTTTCAATGAAGTCGTAAATTAAAATAAATAAAAATTTATCCTTCTCTCAAGCCATTATAGCATAATTACCAGTCAATTCAAATGGACTGGTCTTAGCCGAATGGGTAAAATTATTTTTGGGTGAAAAATCTACAGGCTGTTCCTGGATTTGTTCATGATCATTTACCGTCTTAATGGTATTATAGAATTGAACTTGCATATGGGTGGGAGCTAAAGCAGGTGTAACGGTTAAATTGGCAGTTGAAAAGGTATGCATTTCGGGGCAGACTTGATGATTGGGACCTGGTAATTGTGTGGTTGCGGTTGGATTTGTTATCGCTGGTGTTTGTATAACACTGATACGTTTATAGTGTTCATACTCCTCCTGAGCCATGGGACTTGTTAGCATCGTATAAGATTTTAAATTTGTACCATCGACTAGTGGTGTATCTGTACTGACTGTTATAATCTGTAGACTAGGATTGTTGTTCATCAATGTATGTGGTAAATTTGTATATTGTAAGGCTGCTTGACGCCGATCCTTTTCTTTTTGTAGCAGTTTTGTAGCCAAAGTAGTTTTGGCCGATTCAGGACCAGCTACTGCTGGAACTGTTGTCAAATTGTTTTCATTAGTTACGTAATGAGATGTTATACTCTTTGGAGTTGTCATTTGTATTGTCTGCGACGCGGACCGATTGGGTCGTGATTCTTTTTCAGCACTTTTGTGATGATTTTTCATACATGAAGATTCTTCGTGTTTGTAAAGATACGATTTTAAAGCAAATGCTTTACCACATCGTTTGCAAGTGTGTGGCTTGGTATTCGAATGGGTCTGAATGTGAGCCCGCAGATTGGACTTATCCGCAAAGGCTTTGGTGCAGACGTTACATTTGAAGGGTTTTTCGCCTGAAAATAAAAAAAGGGAAAATGTTAATGGAATTGTACAAAACTGAAATAATTTATATTTAAGAGAATAATTTTCAGAAGGTGAGCCCCTTTATAGACTTAGGCCACTATGGATCGATCTTTTCGTATTTTAATATCATGATTTATTTATTCATTAGATTTATGTTGAATTGTACTATAATATACCGATATCAATCAGTGTGGTCCTTTCCGTTGATAATCGTATGAAATACCAGAACTTTCTACTCTGGGCTCAACAAGTTACTATTTTGTATGATTTTTGGGCCACCAGGATTGTTGGTGAAAACTTATTTTTAAAATCTCACCTGTATGTGTCCGTATATGACCTTGCAAAAGCCATGGTCGTGAAAACTTTTTACCACAATACTGACATTCACAACCCTGATTGTGGGTTCGTACATGCATGGAATAGGCCGGCATCGAAACATAGACTTTCTCACAAAACGGACAGTGTCTGGCTTTCTTATCCATAATCGACCTAAAATTGGAGAAACTAATATTAGAAATATTAAAACAGCTTACATACTCTAGGGCTATGTTCAAACTGACCTGTGGGTTTGTCGATGTCTAGCCAAATTAGATGATGTCGAATACTTTTTACCACATTCCGGACAAATATGTTCATCATCCAAAAGATTTAAACTGGAGCCAGTTGATGAATCAATATGCATTTGCTTAAGGCCACCGATTTCTGTACTGCCTACTATTTCACTTGTATCATGATGCATTTGTGTATAATGTTGTTCATCACCACTGGTGCTGCCACTACTGCTGCTGCTACTACCACCCGGGGCACTACTACATGATGAATGTTCATCATAGCGTGAGTTATCCGAGATAGTGGAACGGCGTAATTTTTTACGATCGAATACCTTGTGACTGTAATAATTGGAATCATCATCTGAAGATGAGTAAAACGTTCCCACAGCATTTATATTGTAATGTTGATGATGCGTTAAATGATGAGGAGTATGGTGATCATCATGATGTTGTTGTTGTTGGTGTTGCAGCTGGTCCTGGTAGTTGTGTTGAGGAGAATGATGATGATGATGATGACGACGATGATAATAATTATCAAATGTCGTTATGTGTGATCTGTTTTCTGTCTTTTGTATTGATTTTCCATTACAACTCAATTTTGTTAGTGTTATGGATGAATCGATTGTTATTTGTTGTTCTTGCTCATGTTGTTGCTGATGATTATATTGTAGCTGCTGTTGCTCAAGAGATCTCATGTCTTTCGTTAGTACATCTGGTTTTTCAATTTTATTTACCACATTGTGATTCGTATTTATCGTATGTTCCATTGATCTTTCCACAATGTTCGAATGGGCAACAATATCGTTGCCTTCAATTTTATCCGTTGTACTCAGACGTTCTGCAGCGACTTCAGCTAATTGTGTTAAATTGTATAGTTCTTCAGGTATGACGGTGGTTTGTTCTTTGGTCATTTTTAAATTTTCCCCGAAGAAAATTATGAGTATTAAAACTGAAATGAAATATTTTTTTATTATTTAATATTCGACAATTATTTTAGACATATGGATTAATTTGTAAATTTAAATTAAACTATTTCCATTCAGTTATTTAAAATATTTTAATTAATATGGGCAATTTCGTGTCAAGTGACCCAACTCAAAAACTCGAAATTGCACTGAGGTTAGTATTATTGGATCGTAGGTCAGACACAAATTTTCAGATCTATCGGACAAGAACTGCCGGACTTAGAGGGGGTCAAAGTTGGACATTTTGGTCAGAATAGACTATAGACTAGACTATAGACTAGACCATAGACTAGACTATAGACTAGACTATAGACTAGACTATAGACTAGACTATAGACTAGACTATAGACTAGACTATAGACTAGACTATAGACTAGACTATAGACTAGACTATAGACTAGACTATACACTAGACTATACACTAGACTATAGACTAGACTATAGACTAGACTATAGACTAGACTATAGACTAGACTATAGACTAGACTATAGACTAGACTAGACTAGACTATAGACTAGACTATAGACTAGACTATAGACTAGACTATAGACTAGACTATAGACTAGACTATAGACTAGACTATAGACTAGACTATAGACTAGACTATAGACTAGACTATAGACTAGACTATAGACTAGACTATAGACTAGACTATAGACTAGACTATAGACTAGACTATAGACTAGACTATAGACTAGACTATAGACTAGACTATAGACTAGACTATAGACTAGACTATAGACTAGACTATAGACTAGACTATAGACTAGACTATAGACTAGACTACTAGACTATAGACTAGACTATAGACTAGACTATAGACTAGACTATAGACTACTAGACTAGACTATAGACTAGACTATAGACTAGACTATAGACTAGACTATAGACTAGACTATAGACTAGACTATAGACTAGACTATAGACTAGACTATAGACTAGACTATAGACTAGACTATAGACTAGACTATAGACTAGACTATAGACTAGACTATAGACTAGACTATAGACTACTAGACTAGACTAAAGGCTAGACTATATAATAGACTATAGGATAGACTACATACTACACTATAGACTAGACGATAGAGTAAACTATAGACTAGGCTATAGACTAGGCTATAGACTTGGCTATAGGCTAGACTATAGATTAGACTATACACTAGACTATAGACTGTATTATAGACTAGCCGATGGACTAGACTATAGTCTAAACTATATACTAAACTATATACTAGACTTCAGACTAGGCTATAGAAGAGACTATAGACTGTAGGCTAGACTATAGGCAATACTATATACTAGACTATAGTCTAGACTATATACTGGACTACAGAATAGACTATTGGCTAGACTATATACTAGACTATAGGCTTGACTTAAGGCTAGGATATAGGCTATACTATAGAATAGACTATAGAGTACATTATAAACTAGACTATAGACTAGACTATAAACTAAACTATAAACTAAACTATAGACTAGACTATAAATTAGGCTATAGACTAGACTAGACTATACACTAGACTATAGACTAGCCTATGGACTAGACTATAGTCTAGACTATAGACTAAACTATGTACTAGACTTCAAACTAGGCTATAGAGTAGGCTATATACTAGACTGTAGGCTAGACTATAGTCTAGACTTTATACAAGACTTATACTAGACCGACATGGTCATGCTTCTATCCTGGGAAGTATAGATTACTGGGAAAATATAGATTACTGCTCTCCCACGCTCCTTCCGGACAAAAGATTCACAGTTAGGATGTCAAATGAACCATCCTTCTCAGAAGGCGAAACACTTGACATCTTTACTGATGGATCTAAGTCCACTACAGGCGTGGGTGGTGGCTTCTTTATTCCCCGCTTAAATAAAGCGGTATGTTTTAAGCTGAACGATAACTGCAGCGTCCTACAGGCTGAAATCTCAGCTATAAAAAGAGCGGTCAACTGGATGAGGTACTATAGGATATACAATGTTAATATCCGAATTTGTACTGACAGTAAACCTGCTATAAAGTCTCTAACTGGTGTCTACACGACATCCAGACTGGTTCGCGAATGTCGGGTGTCTCTTGATGAGATGGCGAACCATTCGTGCCTGGAACTACTCTGGGTACCGGGTCATTCTAACATTCCCGGAAACAGAAAAGCGGACGAACTAGCAAAAACTGGCTCCCGCCTTCATATAGGGGACACTGACACACTAGTCGGTGTTCCGCTTTCATGCTGTAAGGTTTTTATTCAGCATGAACTCTATGGGTCTGCTCAGACCAGATGGTCATCACTGACCTATTGCTCTACATCAAGAATGACCTGGCCTCTCTATGGTGAGCGAAGGTCTTTCTGTCTGATGGAGCTTCCAAGGATGAGACTACGCAAACTGGTAGCCATCCTAACAGGGCACTGTACTATAGGTGCGCATGCAAGAAGGATGCATGCAGGAGCTGCCAAAGTGAGGAAGACGAGGAAACTGTAGAGCACTTTCTGTGCCTCTGCACTGCCCTATCTAATATCAGGACTGAGTTTCTAGGCAGTCCAATATTGCATGAACTTGCGGCTTTATCTAATATAGACATATATAAGATTGAATCGTTCATTCGTGCCTCTGGCTGGTTTAACACCATGTTAATCACGGACATGTAATGTCCCATAGGTTGGTCTTCTCTTGGCAGGATCCACTATAGGGTATCACAACGGGACCATTACGACCCAAGTGAGTCGGTCAAATGGCCGACTGCCTCAATAACCTAACCTATACTAGACTATAGAGTAGATTATATACTAGACTATACAATAGACTATTGGCTAGACTATATACTAGACTATAGACTAGACTATAGACTAGACTATAGACTAGACTATAGACTAAACTATAAACTAAACTATAGACTAGACTATAGACCACATTATAGACTGGACTGCAAGAACATTTAACATATTTATGAGACTCAAAAAGCGATTCTGGGCCGATTGGTAAACTTTAAGGTGGATGTAGGACCAATATTTTTGGGTGTTACAAACAATGCATAATACCTTCCCCACTATAGTGGTGTAGGGTATAACAATCGGAATAATAAAAGATGAAAATTACTTTTAATAGTTGGTCGCCCATCAGTAAATCTAATAAATAAATAAATGGCGTTAATAAATTACTAAAAGACCGATTAGAATCAGTTCACATTTGTTGTGATTGGTGAAATAGTTAACTACCTAGGCAGTATTTCTCTCTAATCAAATTTAATTTAGATGTTTACAATTTTCCTTTAATGTCATCATATTTAGACATTTCTTGTCATCTTATTAAAAACAAGATGAAGAAATATTAAAATGTTCTATAATAGTTTTCAAATTTGATAAACTTGCAAACAATTAAATCAAAATAATTCTTTAACAAAATAAGTATGGTGTACTTGTAGAATTTAAATACAAACATTCATATGTATATAGTACATGTACATAAAAACGTTCTTATTACCCTACAGCCGCGAATATTTGAAAATTTTCGTCAAACTTTTAATCAATTCTAAGCAAATGACGTAGTCTAGAGATAATTATATACAGACATAAGTATAAACGTACTTAGTCGTTTCTTCATCAAACGTTGAAAAAGAAAATCTATTTATTACATACGAGTTGACAGCAGTGGTTGGGATGGATACGTTAACAACCTGCTGCTGCATGCAGTTGAGTGCGTCACTTGGGGAGGATCGTTTAAACAAAATATTTAACTTAAATATTCTACATATTATTTTGTTGTATTATTATTTTTTTTTTTCGTTCGTTGTTCTTAATTAATTGAAATGAGGCCAAAAAATTTATTTATGTTCAATTTTCTTTTCAGTATTATTATTTTGTTGTTTTTTTTTTTTTTTTTGAAAAATATAATGACTGGCGCAAAATTAATTTTTGCAATTATTTTTTTTTTGCATGTTGTATTCAGAGTATACAAGTTGTTTCTTTTCGTTGTTGTTTAATTATTTTTGTTTAAAGTTATAAACAAATGTGTTTGTGCGTGTACTAGTTTTATTTTATTTACTTAAATGGCCCCTTTATCAATTTTCAATTTACGGATAAAAATCATTCAGTTATTTACGTATAATTATTATTATAGACAAACCTCGCAGACATAAACGCTACGCAATGGAAACACAGCATACAGTCAAGGGCAAAATGTATCCCTCGCCCACGTTCAATTTTATTTTTAGTAATTTTCGCTTAAATTTAGAACATATAAATGTTTTCTGTTTTCAAAATAAATTCCCAAATTGTTTACCACAAAAAACATAGATAATTTAGGAAAAACACAAATTAGAATCGCGCCCATTTAGAAAGCAGGGTGGCGGTGGGCGTGTATATTTTTATGAAAATATTCGAAAATTTGTTGGAAATTTTTTTTGTTGAAAAGAAAGTGTTTCTATGTGTAGTTTTTGTAGGTCATACATACAGAGATTTCATATTTTGGACTTGGATCTATTGTACAAATTATTAATATTTATAGTTTTGCCGAAATGAGTTTATTGACATGTTTGTTTATTGTTTTAGGGAAAAATGATAAATTATTAGGAAATTATTAAAACTTATTAAATTATTTGAGAAAAATATGTAATAGACTAAGGGGATACGTTCAATGCGTCAACCATTAATTTTTACAAAAATATTCTTTTTCGTTTGTAAAAAAATAATATTTTATATCAAAATGTCAGTGCTTAAGTGTAAGTCACTACTAGACACCTTCTATGGTTCTGTGGTGTTCCACCTCATGCAGTAAAGAGATAGATTATTGATAACTACTACTCTATTACTCAAGACCGTTGGTCACGTGAGCAAACTTTCTCGTTGGCTAGAGCGCTGTGGCCCCATATTGATCTACACAGGTCTAACTATCTCTTCGGTTTTCATATACTACAACTAGGTAAGCTGGTATCGATTGTTACTGGCAACTGTAAATTTGTCAACCCCGCTAGACGCTTTGGTC